TTTGTAAAGTCAATTTTTATATATCACCCAATTCACCCCCTCTTGGGTAACAAACATATGTGCCATTATGTTTAGAGTTGTAATTCTTTGTTTTAAATTTATAATTTTCTATTTCAGACTTATTATATTTTATTGCAAATTTATAATTATCTACTTCAGACTTGTAATTTCTTATTTCATACTTGTAATTTCCTGTTGCAAACTTGTGATTTTTTATTTCAGACTTCAAATTTCCTATTTCACACTTATTATTTTCTATTCCAGACTTGTAATTCTCGATTTCAGACTTGTTATTCCCTATTTTAAACTTTTAATTCTCTATTCTAGACTTCTAATTTCCTACTTGAGACTTGTAATTTCCTATTGTGGTCTTAGACTTCCTTATTTAAGACTTGTAATTATCTATTTCAAACTTGTTAAGTGAGATAAGAAATTACAAGCCTATAATAGAGAATTATAATTCTGAAATAGAGAATTACAGGTCTGCAATAAGGAATTACAAATTTGAAATAGGAAATTATAAATCTACAATAGGGAATCACAAGTTTGAAATAAAAAAATTACAAATACAAAATAGGGGATTACAAGTCTGAAATATACAATTACAAATCTGAGATAAGAAATAACAAGTAAAAATTATAAGTCTAATATATATATATATATATATTTATTTATTTATTCGATTGTAAGGCACGTTGTGTTGCAGAACTTTCCATAGGGACTGGAACTAACTAAACTAAAAATCAAACTAGAAAACAGTGGGAATTATTAATAAATCCACTGAACAACCTTTCTTCATTCATTCTTTTAGTTCATGGCCTCTGTTCTTCCCACCATGGAGTATAACTTGCTTGAATGGAGATTCAGTTTGAATCCCAGGCCTTTCAACATCAAAGAGCATGTGATTATTGCTATCTTCACTAATTGTGGTGTTTTCATAGGAGGAAGCGATGCTTACTCCATTAGAGCCGTTACAGTCATGAAAGCTTATTATAAATAGACCCTCAGCTTCCTCTGTGCTCTTTTCGTCATCTTGACCACCCAATTTAGATTTGTCTAGCTAAAAGGTTCAATGCATTTTCTGCATTTGCTTCGGTTCAATCTTTCTTTTGGAGAACTTTAATTGCACATCTGATTCAAAAGGGATCGGTTCTTGTAAGATCTTGTTCCTCCTTAAAATTGGTGAATTTTCTAGAAGCTTGACTCTTCCATAAACGTTACTCTCCAAAACTTTTAACAAATCTGATTTCTTTAATTCTTCATTGCTCTTGATTCTTTAATAATTGTAAAACATGCAGAAATAATTGAATCTCCCATATCTGCAAAGTTTGTCTTTACTCTTGGACAAAGAGAGGGAGAGAAAGAGGAAGAGGGAAAAAAAGATAAGAAAAGGAGCTGGATTAGATGGGGAAAAAAAAGAAAAAGAGAAAGGGTATTGAAAAAGAGATGAATTAGATGAAGAAACAAGGAAGGGCATTTTTTTTTAATATTTCATAATTTATATTTAAGATTCGATTTGTGACAGTAATTTTTTAAATTGAAAAAATTCAAATTATAATTTGATATAGGAAAAATGACAAATAAAGACCCTTGAATTACCAAAATTACAACAAAGTCATCTGAATAAGTCAAATTACCAAGAGGGACCTGGTCTCAAATTGCAATTAGCAAATCACACCTAAAAGACTAAAATACCCTTCAGTTACTCAGATTCAATAATGAAGGCAGACACTGGCAAGAGACCTCTTCTTTCCTTCTCTTTGGACTTCTTCTCCCTCTCTTCTTCTTTCTCTTTCTTCCTTGGGTCAAAGCGGTGTCTTCATTGGGTTTCTTCCATGGCGAATCGTCTCGTGAGGGACAAAGAGGGCTTTCACAACTCCTTGCGTAGGATATCGGCAGGTGAAGACAGGAAGGTGGTCGATGACAGAGGAATGGAAGATTTGGGATGGTTTTTTGCAATTTTGAAATAGGGAGTGATTACGACCTTTTTGTTGAACAACGGCGATCGACCTTATGGATGGTTTTCTCTGTTAGCAAAGAAGAAGAAGGCTAAGCTCTCTGAGTTGTTGATAGAAGCTACAGGGTTTGCTGGTTTGAATATTTTAAAGATTTTAAAGATGGTCTGGTTGAATACTGTCTTCTTTTTGTTTACTTGTATCTGGGAATGATAATCTCCTCATTTGATTTAGAGTTGCTGGTTGCTGTCAAAACACCTCTGGTTTTTTGTTATTTGACTTACTATTGTTGTAATTTTACTTAGTAGTGTTGTAACTATAAATTGGTTAGTTTGATCACAGCAACATGGCATGACAATCTGAAAATATTGGTATTTTGTTTATGGGCAGAGTAATGTTAACATTTAGTATTTGTAGTTGTAAATGGTATCAATGTGGATCCATTTAATGTTCTAAAATTTATGACAGACCTCCTCACAGACTTATAATTTCACTTACCACAGTTGTTATTTGACTTTCCACTCTTGTCAATTGATTTTCATAACTTGTCATTCACTTTACTCACCTTGTCATAAATTAAATATCAAAATTTGTCATCTGCTAAAAAAATCTGAAAATTCTGTCATTTGAAAAGAGAAAATTAAATTTTTATAAATTGCTTATCAGAAGTTGTCATTCCTTACTAAACTTGTCATTCGTCTTACTCAACTTGTTATTTGCCAAAAAAAATTTGGAAATAAACATGTTGAAGGGAATGTAACGATCACTATTGTCGTGATGATAGAAATGCAGTAACAAAAACATAGAATTTGTTATGTTACATCCACATTGGTGGACATTTTGAAGCAAGTGATGAAGGGGAAGTTAAATATATTGGAGGGAATGTAACGATCACTATTGTTGTAATTTCGCTTGCTAGTGTTGTTAATGCAAACTTTTAACTATTATGACAACAATGTACTGATAGAAATACATGACAATATGATAATTATGGTCTTTTTATATTGTAGATTAATGTTAACATTTTTTGTTAATCAGTTCTATATTGTAACAATGTAGAGCTATTTAATATTGTTCACTTAATTAGAAATGTGGTGACAGAAATGCAGCGACAGAAACACAAAAATTCTATCATTTGCCTTACTGAACTTGTCATCTACTAAAGAGATCTAAAAATTCTGTCATTTAAACAAAAAAAATTAAATTCGTATGAAATGTTTATCAGAAGTTGTCACTTATCTTACTAAAATTGTTATTTGCCTAACTAAACTTGTCATAAATTGCTTATCAGAACTTGTTATTTGCTAAATATACCTAGAAATTGTCACTTAAAAAGAGAAAATTAAATTCATATGAAATGCTTATCAGAAGTTGTCATTCGTCTTACTAAACTTGTTATTTGCCAAGGAATTATGCAAATTGTCATTTTAACGTAAAATCTTAAATTCCTATGAGTTGCTTATAAGAAGTTGTCATACACCTTACTAAAACATCCTTGGTGAATGACAAGTTGAGTAAGATGAATGACAAGTTTAGTAAGGTGAATGACAACTTCTAATAAGCAATTCATAAAAATTTAATTTTCTTTTTTCAAATGACAGAATTTTTAGATTTTTTTAGTAGATGACAAGTTCTGATATATAATTTATGACAAGTTGAGTAAGGCGAATGACAAGTAATGAAAATTAATTGACAAGAGTGGAAAGCCAAATAACAACTGTGGTAAGTGAAATTACAAGTCTGTGAGGAGGTCTGTCATAAATTTTAGAACATTAAATTGATCTACATTGATACCAGTTACAACTATAAATACTAAATGTTAACATTGCTCTGCCTATAAACAAAATACCAACATTTTCAGATTGTCATGCCATGTTGCTGTGATCAAAGTAACCAATCTGTAGTTACAACACTACTAAGTAAAATTACAACAATAGTGAGTCAAATAACAAAAAACGAGAGGTGTTTTGACCGCAACCAGCAACTCTAAATCAAATGAGGAGATTATCGATTCCCAGATACAAGTAAACAAAAAGAAGACAGTATTCTCGACAATCGAACAACACTATATCAAAAACATATCTGGAAATGAAAGTCGAAAGTCATCAATTAGTATTAACAATGGGTCACCATCTTTTTTGTAATAAAGATTGGTGAAAATGGCCACAACCTTAATCATATTGATAAATGCATAAGCGAGAGATGAATGTTTTTGAGAGGGAGAGGAATAGAAGGAAGAAGACAGGGAGGGAGATGAAGAGGGAGAGAAGGACAAAAACGAAGGTGAAGAGAAGAAGGAAAAAGAAAGAGATGGGGTGATGGAAGAAAGAGAATAATGGGCATTTCTGTCTTTTTAGCCTGATTTCATAATTACAATTTGAGAACGCGTCTTTCTTAGCAATTTGGCTTATTCAAGTGACCTCCTTATAATTTTGATAATTCAGGGGTCTTTATTTGTTATTTTCCCTTTGATATATTTCATAATCTTTCACTACAATTTTTCTTTTCTTTAATTACAAGTTAGTCCATCAGCTTTAACTTAGTCTTTTCATCTAATTCTTGAACTTTTAATTTCCTGTTTATAATTTTTCGATACAATTTAGTTGTTATAATTTAATCATTTGAAACATTAGCTCTTAAATTTTAATAAAATAATTTTAATCCTTATTATCAATGACTAAATTTTAATTAAATTAAAATTATATTGTCTTTAGTATTTAATATAAGAGCTAGTTATTTGTAATAAATATGGGTTGTCTTTTCTAAAATAACTTTATTACTTGTGTGTATTAATTAGAACTACTATTTGATGAAGTCTTTAACATGTCCAACTATTACAAGGACTACCTTAAAAGAAATAAATAAATATAATCGATAAAATAAATTTAGATATTATATTTAAAACTAAATTATATATTAAACTAACTCTTGTATCTTATATTAAAGATAGAAGATAGAAGAAACAACAGGATCAGATAATTAATTTTCTCATATATATCAATTTTTAAAGCAATTATCAGTCTCTGCCTTCTGCCGTTCTGCTTCTGTCTTGCGTCATCAACGTCTCCACGGAAAGAAAACCCCGCGCCTGCCCGCGTCGCTCTTCCCTCACTCTAATCGATTCGCTGCACTCAGACGCCTGACTCGGTAATTTTCTCAGCCGCCGCCTGTCGGCCGTTGTCTCTCCTTCTTCGTGTTCGCTGTAGCTCAAGCTTTTCTCCCAAAGCATCTCCTTCTACGCTTCGTGTGCTTCTTGTCCAGCGCATCCTTCGTGCTCTAGTTGAAGCCGAGCTTCTCGCCCTCCACCGTGGCCTCTCACTCTTGGACCTTCCTGAGTTCTTGTGCTTTTGCCTTCTTTCTCCAGATTTGTTGTCTCTCCATTTCTTGACTTTGCTTGATATTCTGCAATTCATGAATGAGTTTTGCAATCCGTGAGCTCTGAGTGTTCGATTTTAATGAATTAATTAGATTCGATCCTTCTAGACTGCTGGGTGATTGGGTGTTCTGGTCTAGGGGGTGTTTGGGGGTTCATCTTAATGAATTAATTAGCAAGGCTTTATTTATTTTTAAAATTTTAAAATTTGTTCCAATCCTGGAGGCCACATTTTCTCCAAGGCTCTGATTCCCTTCTCGTCCTTCATCTTCGTGCTCCACGGCTCCGATCAGCCCGGCGCCTCCTAAAGCTGAGACATTTTCTTCAATTTTGTGCAATAGGATAGGTTCGTTCTGAGAAATTGAGATGGTTCAAAGACTTGGGACTCGACTCTTCGTGAGCAGTTCGTTCTTATCTTTCCTCTTTCCCGCTGAACTTCTATCTATAAGAATCTATTGGAAGCCCTAATTTTTTGTTGTCTTATTTTCTAGGATTATCATTCTTCACAACAGATAGCCAACTCAGAAAGCTGTTTTCTCAATTTGGAATAATCACTGAAGGTGTTGTTCGTCAATTGCTTTCTGTTATTGAATATTTTGATATTTTATTTTCCCCATGTTGCTGACCTTTTCAATGCTGCGTCTTGCAGCTAGGCTAGTGAAGGACCCAAAAACTCAAAGGCCTAAAGGATTTGGCTTTGTTTCCTATGAGTCAGAAATTGAAGCAGAGAAGGCTATGAACGCCATGAATGGCAGGGTAACACTCTAAATTGATGGTTGATGCATAATTTATTGAAGAAGCTTTAAAATGTTGTTATTTACTTAATTAACCTAAACAAAAATGCACATATTTACGTGCAAGGAAAACGGCTTTGACAAAATATTAGTGCATTGTGTTGGTAGTAATGACTGAAAGGGAATTTATTAGTATGACTAGTTTAAACTTAATTGATGTAAATGCTATTGCACAGATGGTATTGTACGCTTAATTATTTTTGTGTTGAAAATAAGTAAGAAAATCTCGTTCATATATGTTTAAAATCGACGAGTTTTCTAATTTAACTTTTCTGTTTTTGCCTTGTATGATTCCAATACTCTTGTTCTTACTCGCTTTTGGAAAAATGATAAAATTACAATGGCAAGTTAGTGTCAATTCTCTTTCAGTGAACAGAAAGTCAATGTCATCCTGCTTTAATGACTTAGGAGGAGTTTGCCTAACTCTAAAAGTGCTTTTGAAAAGCACTTTTCCGTAAATTGAGACAAACTCTTCTATTTATTTACTTCGTATACTATAAAAGTAATTTTAAAACAATAATTTGGTATCTACCCAAACACCTTTTTAGTTAATACCATAGAACGGCCTTGATGTCCTTGGTTAACGATCTCAAGGGGTGGTTGAGTGAAATCATAAGGATGTGAAATATGTTTGCTTCTCTTTCGGAGATCAAACAGATTGATCTTCAACTATGTTACACTGGTTGGGTAGATGCGATGGAAAAGAATCCTAATGAAAACATTGAGCATGCTCTGATTACTTACCAAGGTTTATGTAAATGGAAGCTAGCATGTCTTGGTTTGGGTATATAAACATAGAATTGTTTGTTGTTCTTGGACGTTACTGATACACGTTATTAGCATATACACAGTTAAAGATTGTTTTGGTTTATTGCACCATGAGGTACTAAAGAACAGGTTCGGAACATTATTGCACCATGAGTGTACTAAAGAACAGGTTCGGAACATTCTCACATCCCCTTCTTTGTTGCTCATGCTTGCAAAAATAAGATTGCATTGGTTTGAAGAAGCGTATTATACTTGACATCACCGTTTGTTGCTTTGTAAAACTCATTATTAAAAGCTCATTAATCTTCCTGATGCAGATAATGGATGGAAGGCTTATTTTTGTGGAACCTGCAAAAGCTACTAGACCTAAAGATGGTGCTTTTTGATGTGGCAAACACGAGAGAACAGAGAACATCTTGAGAAAAGAGGGACAATAGAAGAACAAGAGGGAAACACGAGAGGAGACAGAAAGCATATCTTTATTTTTTGTTTTTTTTTAATACCTGGATACTGCGCTTCATTAATTTGAACAGTCAATCATACGTTTGGATATGCTTTGCTGTCTATTTATAATATCATAGCCGTATCTACGGTACTCCTTAACAAACTCAACAAACTAACGGAAATACAATCATAAACCCATCTAGATGTCTAACGGCTAGTAACCGTTACCTACCCATTCTAATATTTAATTTAATTGAAATTATACATCATTTTGATAGATACCTAACTGCATGTTTGATTTCATATTGGAAATAACCATGGTTTTGATGAATGTAGGCAACTAGTTGCTTCAATTGAAACCGTTTTAGTAATTTCCATATGGAACAAAACACTCTCTTTGCTATAACCTCTGGAAATCAAGTCAAAGGTTAATGAAGCACCGTCACATCCTGAATCCAAGTTGTTGGCGTTATTAGAGCTCATGTTGAAGATAGAAGAGGTCTACATCCAAAGAAAGGCAGAGCTTCAACAAAGTGTGGGAGGTTCCAATGGTGCGTCAAGATCCGTGAGAAAAGTGAATGAGGTTCGTTAAGCGCTTTGAGCCCACAACCACAATTGCTAATTTTTGGGCCCGTTTGGGCTGACAACAGTAAAAGTGACTTATTTTTAATTGGATTTTTGAAAAGTAAGATTGAATAATATGATTTATTTTTTAATAGACTTTTATAAATAAGCGGGGTTCCAATTCCCACTAAGAGAGATGAAATATTTAGTGTTTAACAATGCCTCGAATATGATTGTTTTCAAGAAGAGGATACCTGTACTTATAAAGAAGAAAGTATGAAAAAGTAGTTGTTTGGATTATTATTAAAAAAAAAAGGTATGACTCTTATTAAATAATAAAAAATAAAAAAATTCTAATAATAATTTTAAATTTTTAATCATTATAATAGGAAGAAGTTACATTTAATGAATAAAATACATTTAAATAAGAAATCATAGTAATGTAAAAACTTTTGAACTAAATAATATTACATAATCAATTGGATGATATACTATGCACAATTTATGTAAATATAAAACAAAAAATAATATTAAATATTAAAATTATTAGAAAACCCTATGTTAAAAAATTATTTTCATTCAAGAGAGTATTAAAAATAAATAACTAAAAAGTGGTTTGAAAAACACAAGAAATAAGCTGAGAAAAATATAAGGATGATATAAACATAAGAGCAAAAATATGTTTTGATTTTTAAAAAAACTGCTTTTGTATAAACCACAAATAGATTTCAAGTGTTTTCGACAATTGTGCTTAAAAAACTGTTTTCGACCCATAAGCAAAATTGGTGAAAAATTGATCCAAACATAAAAGCTACCCAAATTACTATGACTTCTAGGTCAGTTAACAACAAAAAGTTATCTGGGGACATTGCCATTCCAAAAATGATTGCTCTGTTTGGATCCATCTTTGGATCATGAAACAGCTACTTTTAGGCCTATAATGCGATTGGACTCTAATTGTGGTCTTTGGGTTGGGTGTTTTACTTAAAATCCATAATAAGCTAAAAATATAAATATGGTGCTTGTGACTTTTGGCTTTTGAAACATAAAGAGAGAAGTTAAAAAAAGAGTTAGATCTCACCTTTAAAAAATTTATTGCTTATTTCTGATCTTATTATAAGTTTCAAATGATTAATTTATCAATACCAAAAAATCAGTAAAAAAATAATAAATAGGTTAAAAACATATTTTTGTTCCAATTTATGTCCTTATAATAAATGAGAAAAGGGATAAAAAATGTATGAGGAGATGTAATGAGAGAAAATATGACAAAAGAAAGAGAATAATTAATATATATAAATATATATTATTTAATAAAAATCATACCTTTTTCAGTCATTTTATAACTAAACTTACTTTCTCTGTAGTCCAAACAACTCTATTTTTACAAACTTATTTACAAAAGTCAATCTAAATATAAATCATGTTATATAATCTAACTTTCACCTAATCTCAAGTTTCCAAAAATCTAATTAAAAATAAATTATTTTTTCTACTACCGATCCAAACAACGAATGTTAGGTGAGAAACTATTACTGACGGTAGCCAAGAGGAGGATGAGGAACAAGCCTGGTGTCCGATGTGGTGGGGATGGGTTTTCTTTTTTTTGGCTTCCGCTTTTGTTGCTTCTGCTTTAGCTTTTCTTGGCCTGTATTTGTATTAGCAGTACGAGGACTTGAACAAGCCATAGAAGGGTTGAACGTGCGATAGAGAAGGAACAAGTTATTTGTCATAGTAATTAATTTGAAGAATCTTGAGATTTCAACCTGGTACATCTTGTTGATTTCAACTTTTAATTTGTTCCTTTAATATGTTTATTGAAAGGGTCAAAGGGTATTTTTGGCTTTCAACTGTTCGATCTAATGCATTTATATTTTCAACTTTAATAAAAAGTGCAATGTCCTTCCTTAACGTTAACTTTAGAACGTCAACCACTAAGTAGTATGTTGGGACTCAAAGTTTCAACAAGTTTTAGCAATGTGTTCTATCATACCGGGTGAAAATAGGCTAAGTTAGGCTTTAGTTAAATATATATAAGCTAGTAATAAAAATCTAAATTCTGAGCCTGTATATTGTTTTTTTTTTGTTTTTTTAAACTCAGTGGGCTTGACAAGATTTGAAGCCTTTTTAAAAGTGTACTTAAAAATGTAAGCTTTAAAAGCTTATGTTATATTTTAAAAGCCTAGGATTAATTCTCACTTGTAATATAAGATATTAGTAAGAAAGAAAAGAATGCATAGTAACAATAATTATTTGAGTAAGTAGGAATATAAAAAAGGAAATCATTTGTTGACTAAGGAGATGCATTTTCTAAAATCAACCAAGCATAACAAGTGATATGTTAAACTGGATTTTACCTTTTTTCCTTTTGCCACATAAATTGGGATAAACTCCTCCTATTGAGATCTTAAGATATTTTATTTGAGCATCATTAAAATAAACTTGCAAGAATTATTATACTTTAGCGATGGCAAAAAAATTATTATACTTTAGCAAATTACATAAATCAAGGGAGAGGGAGTGAACTATGGTTGTCATCTTGAGCAATCGAAGAGAAGAGAGATAGAAGTGAAAAATTAATGAATAAAAGGGTTGAGTTTTGTGAGTGAATAATGAGATGTGGAACTTATGCTATGTCACATCCCAAAATTTGAACACTGAAGGAAGCCGGACTGGTGATACTAGACTCTTAGGGACAAAACTGAAAATTTTGCAGAAATTTCCAAAAATTCTCCAAAAATGGAGAAAGACCAAATTAGAGGTTTTTGAGGCACCCATGATGTTTTGGGAGTGAAAATGGCTCAAAATAAATTATGTTGAAATTTCCTAAAAATAATTATTTTTGAGGAAAATACTCAAATTTTGAGGAAATATAATTATTTTAATTATGTAAGGGCCTCAATAATTCAAGAAAAAATATGGATAAATTCCTCAAAAATATATGTGAATTTCTAAAATTATTTCCAGGAACTGAAAATGAAGGGAATAATTTATGGGGACTTTACTTTTGAAATTCTATTGGTAAGAGCCCAATTTCGGAAAAATTGTGAAATAAATAGTTAGAGGTTGTGAAAAATTTCTAAATTTTTCAGATCATGCTTTTATATTAAATGGGGATTTATCATGGAAAGAAATAAATTTTTAGGAGGCCTAAGCTATTTTTCCTAATATAGGGCTAAAAAGGGGTAAATTAAATGGAAGTTTGTAATTGGATTTGAACCACACCAACTCCATTACTTCCTAACTAAATTTGGACATTTAGTTAGCCCATTTTGGTCAGAAAGGACGTGCCCCTGAGGCCCAAAAGTCACATGTTGAAGTGTTGGCACATTTTTGACCATTGGATTAAATTTACTTGGTGAGCAGGTAATGATCATGTGGCCCATATTTTTTCTGCTTTTTGAATGAAAATTTGAGGGGTTTTTGGGCAAAAAAATAGCTGAAAAGGGCAAGGTTTGGGCAGCTCATGAAGGTCTATAAATATCCCCTCCATCCCTCCTATTTTTTTGCCAAATAGGGAAAATATTAGGGAAGTACTGCCAAAATTTCTACTCACCTCTAATCACCTTCAAACTACTTCAAGCAAAGGCTGAGCTATAAAGTTTCCACCAAGGATTAATCAATGTATGTGTAAGCTTGATTTTTATGCAATTGGAAGGTTAAAATCATGTCTAATCCTAAGAGGAAACTATGTTAAAATTTCGGCCAACATAAGAAAATGCTAGGGAAGGATAGAAACTTTGATTATGAGCTTGGATTGGTACATTTGGATGTTGTTTGGATTGATTTATGGAAGAAAATCAATTTAGGATTTATGATACCCAATTCGGCCAAGTCTTGTTCTTAGGGTTAGGGTTTGTTTCAATGTGTTGTGATGATTCCAATGAGTTTAAAATGTTTTTTTGCATAGAGAAACACCAAGAAAAAAGAATTTAAAATCATTGGAATCAAAATAGGAATTTTGAAACCTTAAACCCTATAATTTGGCCATAATGGGTTTTTAGACAAGGGATTAGATTTTTATGATTTTAATGCTTCTAATGAGTTTATATGGTGATTTTGTGTAGGGTTATATTGAGAAAATGGGTTTGGAAGTATTAGAATCAAAAATAAAATTTCAGATACTAAACTATATACTATTCGGCCAACTCATGTTCATAGGGAAGGAGTGTGATTTTGTAAAATCTAATTGGATATTTGGATTCTACATGAAAGATCATATAAGAATCACCTAAGAGATTGATTGAAACAAAGGGGAAATAATTAGGTCAAAAATCCAAGGAAAGGAGGTTTAATGTTTAAGCATTACGCAATGTAATTAAATGGCTGGTAAATGATTGGCATTGATGTTGACTTGCTAGGTACTTTGCCCAATCATCAAGGAGACACCCTAAATCAAAAGGGAACAAGTCACTATGTCTACAAGAGGTAGCATTGAATTATAATTAAAGTGCTTTCTTGCTTACATTTATGTGTGTGTATGTGCTATGAATGCCATGATGTGACTAAGCTATGCTGCTGAATTATATTTGCAATATATATGTTGAGCATGTTTTGGCATTATGTTATGTGAATATGAATGAACTGGTTTACTTTCCATGGCATTTTATTATGCCTGAGCAATAAAGTTATGTGCACAAAAACATGTCACATTATATTTGCA